AAACTGAGGTTTTGTACATTGGAAAGGATCCTGTAAGTCATTCGAAATTCGGCCATGTGGAAAAAATGTTCTAAGCAAAAAAGGTGATGCAGTAACCCAACCAGCTGCACTAATTGTCTTGCAGTTACTGCTTATACAAAAAGAAATTTTGGTGATGCGCGGCAAAGAATCTCTGCTAGCCTGCCCCTCCCCCTCTCTCTCATCCCAAATGATCTCTGCTAGCCTGCCCCTCCCCTCTCTCTCATCCCAAATGATCTCTGCTAGCCTGCCCCCTCCCCCTCTCTCTCATCCCAAATGATCTCTGCTAGCCCTGCCCCCTCCCCTCTCTCTCATCCCAGTGATCTCCTACTTTAGCCTGTCCCCTCCCCCTCTCTCTCATCCCAAATGATCTTTTGCCCAGCCTGCCCTATCCTTAATGATCTCTGCCAGCTTGTCCCCATAACTATGCGTCCCCGATATTTACTACCCCCACCTCAGATTTACTATTTGCCGGGGCCTAGAGCCTGGTCGCATTGTCTTTGCGCGCTTGCGAGGGGTGAGGCGCGCGTTAGAGGGCGTGCGCCCGTGGTAGAGATCTGAGGGGATCTCTCAGAGAGAGGGCCACGCATACAAATTGTCAGCAGTGGGGGAGGTGGCGCTGAGCCCCTAATGCTTAGGGCCCAGGGCCACATCAGTGGCCAGAGATAAGTGAGTTTAGCTGCAGCTGACCTGGTCGCGCCACACACAAGTTTGACCCCACGACAAAAATGAGAGAAACTGACACTTGACTCGGCTGTGAACATGAACGAAAAGCGGGAGGAGGAGGAGGAACAGGGCTTGAGCAGCCTAGACATTGCCGCCACGCGGGCGCCGTGTTGTGAACAATCTGGCAGAGATCATTTGGGAGGGCTAGCAAAGATCATTTGGGAAATCTAGGCCTCAGGAGGGCAGGCTGAGATTAGTTGAGGAAATGGACCGGACCCCGGAGGAGGGCAGGCTAGCAGAGATTGTTTGAGAAATGGACGGACCCGAGAGGAGGGCAGGCTGGCAAATTGTTTGATAATGACAGGGAATCCGGCTGCGGGAATTCATAAATTGCTCAAAACTGGGCTTATTCTTGGTTCGATTTCCATGAAACATGGGAAGAATTTCGGTAATTACCAATTTGTTGAAGGTCCAGATAGGAAAAACCGAGGGAAGACTGTAAGGATAGAAATTAGGATTAAGAATTTAGAAATTTTTCTTTAGGAATTTAATATACACGAAAGACCGTTAATTGGAAGAAGTTGATCCTGGTTGCCTAAATACCTCACAGCAAACACTTAAAATTTTCAGAAAACATGTTTTAATGCAAGGGAATAGTTTCAGAATTTTACCGACCTTCAGTTGCTTGCATGGTGCTAGATCTTCTTATCTTCTTCTTCCAAAACCTCTATTCTTCTCGTCGTCGTACTCCTTCAACTCCGTCGTCGTATCCCGCTTCTTCGTAGTCTCCGGCTCCTCAGCGTGTCACGTCGACCACCTTGCTAGGGGCACCTGAAATCGTTCAAATTGTTGAATTAAATTTCTTACTTAGTCAGAGAGCTTTTTGAGGTATTTAAAGGACCATTAAGCCCCTACCACAATTCGCACACAATGGTAAAATAAATTCTTTTTAGACGTTGAAGAATTACTTAAAATGCTGGAGATGAATTTTTTCTCTATTAAATTTCTTAGGTCAGCTAAATTTTCAAGGTGTTTAATGTCCATAAAAACGTATATTAAAACACTGAAAGTACCAAATTAAATTGCTTCACTTTTAATAACTCTATTACCATACTCAAAATGTAAAAGACTGCCTTAGACCGGTAAGTACAATGAGAAAATGACTAAATACCAAAAAAATGCCGTTCCGCTCTATTTTTTAGGTGTTTATTAAAATCCAAAAACTCAAATCTAATTGAATTGAAATGAAAGATTCGGATATTAAAATAAGCTGGCCCTAACGGAACTATTAAATTCTCCTCTGAAACACATACCTTCACCGCAGGAATTCACCGCCAAAATGCGGAACCCGTAGAATTCCTTCGGCAACAGGTCCCTGCTGTGTATTTCCTGTGGACCCGTCGTCGATGGTGGCCACCTGGAAAGGGGTATCGATTTATTAAGTCGATTGATTTTTTTAATTGATTTAAGTAAAACTTCGGGTTTTTAAGAGCACCTTTTTTGAATTTTTACAGAGTAAAATCTGGATGTTTCTAGATAAAGAGGGGAAAATAGGCGGGGTAAGCTTGCAATCGCCTCTTCATAGACATTGCCCAAATCCATATTTTATCCCCCCGGTTTAAAGGGACGGTACGCCGCAAAAATCGACCCCTGCCATCGACTAGGTTATTTACACAAATGGTAAATTTGCGTATCGAATATCCATTAGTAGACGTATTGTGTTTTGACCTCCGGTGGCTTTTCAAAAAGTATGTTCTAAATTTTCACAAATCCACTAGGGTTCAAGATGGGCTACCTAATTAACTTTTCCCCTTTTTGTTCTTAATAAACCTTCGTAAAATGTATAAAATACCTTTAAAGCTCAATTTTACATTGGCTGAGGCTGAAATCAACCTTCAAGCTAGCGAATCGACCCTAGGCACTGACTACTAGGTCTCGAGAAATATCTGAACGCTAAATAAGTCATTAATTTCTTGCTTTGATATCAATCGATAGGTGATTTTTGTTCGTTAAATGCCCATCTTCGAAAACTAAAAGTATAGAGGGGGGGGGGGGGTGCTAATACTTTCTGACGCCTTTAAAATCCGAAAACGTGTTCCAGATTTTCGCAACCCATTTTTCTTTATGGTCATCATACTGGTGAGCAATCAGAGCCACGCATCCTTTTGTTTTCCGATCCCTTTAAACTCAACAAACGCTTTTGAATAGAATGTTTTGAATTTTGGCTACCCCTTATTTGAGGAGCCACCTCATAATGGGAGGTTTTTAGTCATTGGCTACCGAAACCATACTTCGTAAAAAAATGTGTTGCCCTTAAACAAATAATAAATTAATCCCTAAGCCGATAATCTTTATTCGGGATATTTACAATAGCTGATTCGATAATTATTATAATAGAAATTTAACATTGACTAGTTCCCGACAACTAGACGATTTTCGCCCTTTCCGGCCCTTTAAAATCCCGGAACATGCCGGAAAAAATATGTTTCCGATTTTTTCAAAACCGATTTGCGGAATGAGTAATTTAATATTGGTTTGTTAGCGACGAGCAAGAAGAAAAGTATTTACCTGACGCCATCTGGAGAAGTCGACCGTCTTCCGCTCGACAATATACGCCGTAATCGGGGCGCCGTTGTCCTCGTCGGGTTGCTGCCAAGATAGTACGGCAGAGTTGTGCGTCACCTAAATAAGACCGTTGAAGACTGGACAGTGCGAATACAGTTGTGTGTTTTACAAAATTTAAATTTTTGTTGAAAAATGTTTCGCTGATAATATGTCAGTGGGTCAAAAATATTCCATTCAAGATTGTTTGTTGTATCTCAAATAAAGAAAATTGCAACTAACCAACCCTAGAAAATTTTAAAAAATCTATAAAAATAATAGAATAAGATATAAAGGTTCAAAAACGTCAAATACTTAAAACCTATATACTAAATTCTATTACCAAACGGATGTCGGAGGAAAGCTAACATTCAGTTGCTTTTTTCATAAATTCTAAAAGCTCAGAAGAAAACTCCTAGCTGAAATAAGAAATATCTGCCATTAATTTGTCAATTTTAAATGTTTCAAGTCTGTCCGATGCAGAAAAATAACCGTCGATTTGAATTTTAACGTAAGGACGACGAATTAAAACATTAAAATTTATTTTCCTACGACACGATATAACGATTATTTTGAAAGAAATCCATGAGTAAATGCTTTTTCCGGAAGCTGACGTCAGAGCAAGATTAGATGAAACAATTTTTTTGAAAACCAAAGAAAAAAGATAAATCGGATTACGCTACCCGATTCAGGTTCTCGTGAAAAAAAAATGTTGCAAGGTATTTTGTAGCTAAAAAGATCGTTAAGATAATAATATGGACACACTGGATCAAAAGATGAATGGGCTTCAAAAAAAAGTTTTGAAATGTCAGCTAAAAATTTTTTTTTGATTTGCAGAGTATGCCACAATCGGTCTAAATGGGATTGATTTTCTCAGAATTATCAAAACTTTCAAAATGCCCGAAACATTTATTTTGACAAAGGTGATTTTTGCAATAACAAACGTGTCGCAGATTATTTGGTAGCAAAAATCGTCACTAGCCTGACAATATTTAGTGATCGAAACGTTTTCTGAAATTGAGTTTTTCGAACGAAATCGTCTACGCCCGCGCTTCAAAAACCGAAGCCAGATTTTGCCATTTAAAGAAGCCAGAAAATTCAAATTCGGATGGGCGGACATCAAATGGGCGTCAAACGTCAAACAAACATCATCATCAAACGACTGGGCGCCCAGGGCGCCCAAAATTCGCACCTTCTGGCAGACGAGCTTCTGCGGCGCACCAGGAACATCTACCACGATCAGCTTGACCGTCGCCGTGGCAGTTCCGTATATGTTTGTGGCGTCGATTTCGATGGTTCCACCATCCTTCTGGGCGACGTTACGGAGACGTACAGTCACCGCATCCTCGTACTGGTCGACCTGGCCCCTCATCTAAACGTAGATAGGTTTTAATGTACGTTTCTGGCCGTCTAAAAACGCGAAAATGTGGAAAATAGAACCCACCTTGAAAGGCAATCGATTGAGGATGACGTCAACCTCAGGCTTGGGGTATCCGTTAAACTCGAAGGAGAAGCTCAACGTCTGGCCCTGCGTGAGCTTGATCTCGGGCTTGGTGTCGAGCAGATCGATCTTCGGCGCTGCCCGGATGTCCACCCGCGAGCTCATGCTGTCCAGCTTGTCGTCGAGGGTCACGTGGTAGTCGCCAATGTCCTGAAGTTTTTTTTGAATGTAGCCGTTAAATACTCAATTTATGCTGCTGAACCTTCCTGGGGATGAAGATGTACCTTCCCACAACGAATTTTTAACTATTTCTATCATGCTTAAAATTCATATGCCACGACCTGCTCAGTACACTACTGTACTCGTTGCGCAATTCTACACCCAATCGAACTTCGAAACATGGAAATTACAATACAATTACGCTAGGCTTACCTGTGGCGCAGCTCGCAGGATCCGCAGCGTCGTCCTGTTGCCCTCGGTCGCGATCTCGTACCGGTTCCGCATCTCGAACATCTCGACGGCACCCTTGTACCACCGGACACTTCCTGGGGCGCCGGTGAAGGCACAGGTGAGCTCGACAAGCTCTCCAAGGGCGGTTGCCGAAACGTCTGATGGGTGCTCGGAGAAGCCGATGGCTGAAAAGGGCGCTTAATGATGTTCAAGGATTCTAGGTATCCGTAAATTATCTGTTTTGTCGCAAAACAATGGCTGCTACGGCTTACTTAATTACTTAGCCGGGCTCCCCACTCCACTAGCCCGTTTTCCTACGAGTACGCCGCAACACTAATGCCGACGGCAGTGCGTGCGCTCTAGGACCGCCCATCCGCAAAGACAGCCCCACTTCCCCCGTCTTCGGATTTTTGGTATTTCCCTGCGCTATCTGCGCTCGCTTGCCCCTAGCATCTTCTTTTTACGTTTTCGAAACTGTTTTTTGCATAAGTTAAGCTTCCGCTACCTACGCCAAAGATATGGTACCTCAATAACGTTAACCGGTACATCAACGTCTCCCCCTTTTTACGTATTTAACTCACGTTCCGCACGTTCTTCCTCCTTCTCCTCCGGCTCCTCCAGCCCTTCAGCAAACGACACACGCTTCTTCTTCCTGCGCGCAGCTGCCAACCCGGCCTCCTCATCAACCTCACCGGCTACAGCAGCCTCCTCCAAGGTCACCTCTGTTAACTCGGCCTCCTCAGATCTTCGTTCCTCCTTCTTCTCAAGGTCTGCCTCGAACGCCACGGTCTTTGTTGGTTCCGAACCGTCCAAGGACTTCTTCTTCTTTTTCTTCGGCTTCTCTTGTTCTTCCTCGGGCTTAACCTCAGCAGCCTCAGCACCCTTCTCATCGGTAGCTTCCTTTGGTGTCTCCACTTCTCCAGCCGCCTTCTTGGTGCTCTTCTTCTTTTTCTTGGGTTTCTCCTCATCGGCCTCCTCCTCGACTCCATCTGCCTTCGACTTCTTGCGCAGTTTTGCGGAACCCTCGAGGTCCTCACCGGCCTGCTCACCAGACTGCGCACCCTTGAGGTCTTGCGCTTCTTTCTTTCCCTCGTCAGCCCTTGCTTTGGCTTCGCCCTCCTTCTTCTTGGCCTCTTCAGCATCGACCTTTGCCTTGGCTTCGGCTTCTAGCTTGGCTTTGTCCTCAGCCTCCTTCTTGGCCTTCTCCTCGGCCTCCTTCTTGGCCTTCTCCTCCTTCTTGGCCGTCTTGGAGTCGGCCTCCTTCTTCTTGGCCTCTTCAGCATCAGCCTTTGCTTTGGCTTCGGCTTCTTGCTTTGCCTTGGCTTCGGCCTCTAGCTTGGCTTTGTCCTCAGCCTCCTTCTTGGCCTTCTCCTCGGCCTCCTTCTTGGCCTTCTCCTCGGCCTCCTTCTTGGCCTTCTCCTCCTTCTTGGCCGTCTTGAGTCAGCCTCCTTCTTCTTAGCCTCTTCAGCATCAGCCTTTGCTTTGGCTTCGGCTTCTTGCTTTGCCTTGGCTTCGGCCTCTAGCTTGGCTTTGTCCTCAGCCTCCTTCTTGGCCTTCTCCTCGGCCTCCTTCTTGGCCTTCTCCTCGGCCTCCTTCTTGGCCGTCTTGGAGTCGGCCTCCTTCTTCTTGGCCACTTCAGCATCAGCCTTTGCCTTGGCTTCGGCTTCTTGCTTGGCCTTGGCTCAGCTTCTAGCGGCTGTCCTCGGCCTCCTTCTTGGCCTTCTCCTCGGCCTCCTTCTTGGCCTTCTCCTCCTTCTTGGCCGTCTTGGAGTCGGCCTCCTTCTTCTTGGCCTCTTCAGCATCAGCCTTTGCCTTGGCTTCGGCTACTTAGCTTAGCCTTGGCTTCGGCTTCTAAGCAGCCTTCTCCTCGGCCTCCTTCTTGGCCTTCTCCTCCTTCTTGGCCGTCTTGGGGTCGGCCTCCTTCTTCTTAGCCTCTTCAGCATCAGCCCTCGCCCCGGCTTCGGCTACTTAGCTTAGCCTTGGCTTCGGCTTCCAACGGCCTTCTCCTCGACCTCCTTCTTGGCCCTTCTCCTCCTTCTTGGCCGTCTTGGAGTCGGCCTCCTTCTTCTTGGCCTCTTCAGCATCAGCCTTTGCCTTGGCTTCGGCTACTTGCTTGGCCTTAGCTTCGGCTTCCTAGCTTAGCCTTCTCCTCGGCCTCCTTCGTGGCCTTCTCCTCCTTCTTGGCCGTCTCAGGTCAGCCTCCTTCTTCTTGGCCTCTTCAGCATCAGCCTTTGCTTTGGCTTCGACTTCTTGCTTTGCCCTGCTTCAGCAACTCTGCAGCTTGAGAACGTCCTCTCCAGCCTCGCTTAGCCTTCTCCTCGGCCTCCTTCTTGGCGCTCTCCTCGGCCTCCTTCCCAGCGCTTCTCCCTCCTTCTTGACCTCGTCTTGGAGTCGGCCTCCTTCTTCTTGGCCTCTTCAGCATCAGCCTTTGCTTTGGCTTCGGCTTCCTTGCTTTGCCTTGGCTCGGCCTCTAGCTTGGCTTTGTCCTCCAGCCTCCTTCTTGGCCTTCTCCTCGGCCTCCTTCTTGGCCTTCTCCTCGGCCTCCCTTCTTGGCCTTCTCCTCCCCTTCTTGGCCGTCTTGAGTCGGCCTCCTTTCTTCTTGGCCTCCTTCAGCATCAGCCTTTGCTTTGGCTTCGGCTTCTTGCTTTGCCTTGGCTTCGGCCTCTAGCGTGGCTTTGTCCTCCAGCCTCCTTCTTGGCCTCTCCTCGGCCTCCTTCCCCTTAGCCTTCTCCTCGGCCTCCTTCTTGGCCTTCTCCTCCTTCTTGGCCGTCTATGGAGTCGGCCTCCTTCTTCTCTAGCCTCTTCAGCATCAGCCTTTGCCTTGGCTTCGGCTACTTGCTAGCCTTGGCTTCGAGCTTCTAGGCAGCCTTCTCCTCGGCCTCCTTCTTGGCCTTCTCCTCCTTCTTGGCCGTCTTGGAGTCGACGCCTCCTTCTTCTTAGCCTCTTCAGCATCATCCTTACCTTGGCTTCGGCTTCCCCTGCAGCCTTGGCCTTGGCCTTCGGCTTCTACCGCCTTCTCCTCGGCCTCCTTCTTGGCCTTCTCTCCCTCCTTCTTAGCCGTCTTGGAGTCGGCCTCCTTCTTCTTGGCCTCTTCAGCATCAGCCTTTGCACAGCTCCAAGCTTTCCTTGCAGCCTTGGCTTCGGCTTCCTAGCTTGGCCTTCTCCCCGGCCTCCTTCTTCGCCTTCCCTCCTTCTTGGCCGTCTCTTAGAGTCGTACCTCCTTCTTCTCTGGCCTCTTCAGCATCAGCCTTTGCCTTGGCTTCGGCTTCTTGGCCTTGAGCCTTGGCTTCGGCTTCCTAGCTTGGCGCCTTCTCCTCGGCCTCCTTCTTCGCCTTCTCCTCCTTCTTGGCCGTCTTAGAGTCGGCCTCTTCTTCTTCTTAGCCTCTTCAGCATCAGCCTTTGCCTTAGCTTCGGCTTCTGTGCCGCCTTAGCTTCGGCTTCTAGCTTGGCCTTCTCCTCGGCCTCCTTCTTGGCCCTTCTCCTCCTTCTTAGCCGTCTCGGAGTCGGCCTCCTTCTTCTTAGCCTCTTCAGCATCAGCCTTTGCCTTGGCTTCGGCTTCTTGCTTGGCCTTGGCTTCGGCTTCTAAGCCGGCCTTCTCCTCGGCCTCCTTCTTGGCCTTCTCCTCCTTCTTGGCCGTCTTGGAGTCGGCCTCCTTCTTCTTGGCCTCTTCAGCATCAGCCTTTGCCTTGGCTTCGGCTTCTTGCTTGGCCTTGGCTTCGGCTTCTTAGGCCTTGCCGGCTTCCTTAGCCTTCTCCTCGGCCTCCTTCTTGGCCTTCTCCTCCTTCTTGGCCGTCTTGGAGTCGGCCTCCTTCTTCTTGGCCTCTTCAGCATCAGCCTTTGCCTTGGCTTCGGCTTCTTGCTTGGCCTTGGCTTCGGCTTCTAGCTTGGCCTTGTCCTCAGCCTCCTTCTTGGCCTTCTCCTCAGCCTCCTTCTTGGCCTTCTCCTCCTTCTTGGCCGTCTTGGAGTCGGCCTCCTTCTTCTTGGCCTCTTCAGCATCAGCCTTTGCCTTGGCTTCGGCTTCTTGCTTGGCCTTGGCTTCGGCTTCTAGCTTGGCCTTCTCCTCGGCCTCCTTCTTGGCCTTCTCCTCCTTCTTGGCCGTCTTGGAGTCGGCCTCCTTCTTCTTCGCCTCTTCAGCATCAGCCTTTGCCTTGGCTTCGGCTTCTTGCTTGGCCTTGGCTTCGGCTTCTAGCTTGGCTTTGTCCTCAGCCTCCTTCTTGGCCTTCTCCTCAGCCTCCTTCTTCGCCTTCTCCTCCTTCTTGGCCATCTTGAGTCGGCCTCCTTCTTCTTGGCCTCTTCAGCATCAGCCTTTGCCTTGGCTTCGGCTTCTTGCTTGGCCTTGGCTTCGGCTTCTAGCTTGGCTTTGTCCTCAGCCTCCTTCTTGGCCTTCTCCTCAGCCTCCTTCTTGGCCTTCTCCTCCTTCTTGGCCGTCTTGGAGTCGGCCTCCTTCTTCTTGGCCTCTTCAGCATCAGCCTTTGCCTTGGCTTCGGCTTCTTGTTGGCCTTGGCTTCGGCCTCCTAGCTTGGCCTTCTCCTCGGCCTCCTTCTTGGCCTTCTCCTCCTTCTTGGCCGTCTTGGAGTCGGCCTCCTTCTTCTTGGCCTCTTCAGCATCAGCCTTTGCCTTGGCTTCGGCTTCTTGCTTGGCCTTCTCCTCAGCCTCCTTCTTCCTTCTCGGCCTGCTTCGCCTTTCCTCCTTCTTGGCCGTCTTGGAGTCGGCCTCCTTCTTCTTGGCTTCTTCAGCATCAGCCTTTGCCTTGGCTTCGGCTTCTTGCCTGGCCTTGGCCTCAGCTTCCTGCCTGGGCTTCTCTTCAGCCTGCTTCGTCGCCTTCTCCTCCTGGACCGACTTTGCCTCTGCTTCGCTCAGCGACTTCGCGGCGGAGTCCTTGCGTTTTGTAACCTTCTTCTTTTTCTTCTCTTCGACCGTTGCGTCGTCTGCTTTTCCAGCTTGCTGGGCTTGAGGCTGGTCTTTGGCTGCCTCGGTCTTCTGCATCTCGGCAGCGTCTATATTGCTCGCGGGCGTTTCCTCCGGTGCTTGACCTGCGGTCTTTGGAACTGTTTCCGCTTCATCCGTTGATTTCTTGGCGGCCTTCTTCTTTTTCTTAGGCTTCTCTTCATCTTCTTCCTCTTCAGCGCCATCAGCTTTGGACTTCTTGCGCAGTTTTGCGGATCCCTCAAGATCCTCGCCGGCTTGTTCGCCAGCTTGGGACCCTTTGAGGTCCTGAGCCTCTGGCTTCTGCGCTTCAGCTTCCTCTGGCTTGGCTTGCGCTTCGACAGGCTTATCAGTCTCTTTCTTGGCCTCTGGCTCACTCTTTACTGCTACATCTTCGTTAACTTCCTCTTTCTGCTCCTCAGCGGGCTTCTTCACCTTTTTCTTGGTCTTTTTTGGGCTTGACCTCCTCGGTTGGTTCGCCGAACCTCCTCAGGCGTCTCAGGCACATCCTTTTCGGCTTCCGTAGGCTCCACCGGGCTGCCCTCGGCCTCAGACTCTTCATCGCTGATCTCCTCCAGAGTCACGATGTTCACCTTGTTACTGGGCGTTCCCTCTCCCGTACTGTTTTCACCAACAATGCGGAACGAATACATCTCATTTGCCAGCAGCTCAGTGTTCTGGTACTCGAAGGTCTTCGCCGACAAGGTTGCGATATTTCGCCACCTTGAGATGTCGCCGGCCTTCCTTTGCACGATGAAGTTGTCTACAAACTCCAGGCTGCCCTCTGGCGGTTCCCAGGTCAGCTTGACGCTGCGATCGGTGACATCACTAGCGACCAGGTTCTGCGGGGCCAGCGGCGTATCGATAACCTTCATTCGCAGCTTGACCTCCTGCTTCCCGACGCTGTTCTCCAGCGTGATCGTGATCTGGCCGGAGTTTCGGGTCCTGAGGTTACGGAACCTGAGCGACACATAGTCATCGTACATCGTCGCGTCGTACATCATATCCGCACCGGATTCGTGTTGAATCTTCAGCGTCGGGGCTGGATACGCGGCGAAGTCGATTTGGAAATCGAAAGGTTTATTCGCCAAGCAGATCACGGTCTTTCCAGAGATATCGCTGGTGATCTCCGGAGCGATAGCTGCGGTAAGTTTTGCTTTTTCAGATGCAACACCATCCACAACGCAATAATACTCTCCAACCAAGCTTCCGGTGAAGCGCTTCAGGATCAGGCTCGACGTGTTCGGACCGTCCGCCTGCTCCACGAAGTCGGACTTGGGCACGACGAGGTCGTTGCGATACCAAACGGCCTCTTCGATCGGATGCTTGGCGACAACGGTGAGCTTTCCGACTTGACTGACAACGTCAATGGAAAGAGGTTCCGGGTGTTGCAGGATGACTTGACGAGGTTTTTCTGAAAAAAAAAACAGTAATTGAATATGCTTCTAGGGCGAAGGTGTCAAAATGTCCTCGAAAAGACTTACCACCGTCCTCATCGGCTTGCACGTCCTCAGGAAGTTCGCGGAAGATGGTCTTGCGCGTCTTCGCGGTAACCACGCTCTTCTCACTGACGACTATCTCGGCCTCGGCTCTTTGGGGCATACGCTGCTCGTCAAAGTTCTTCGACAGCTTCGCGTCTCCGTATTTGCGTTGTATCGTTTGTTCGACGGCCTAAAAATAGCCCGTCATTTGTTACTGCGTAAATCGTTGGTCAAATGCTCCGCGGGTTTAAATATGGACTCAACTGTTCTTTTAATTGAAAAATTTTGGCCTTCAAGCACTTTATCGAGCCAAATCTCATGCAGATATTAGCCGTTTCGCTTCCGTACAACAAAATGTTCAGCTGGGACTAAGCTATCCGTCAGCATCATTTTTTATTTTGAGAAAAATCAATGAAATGCGCCTGAAATCGGCTTTAGAAGCGCAGCGTGGTATTCAGGGCGGGGGAGGGGGCTCGGAGGCGGGCGGGGCGAGGCCTTTCCCCAACCGCGAAAGGGGGCGTGGCCGTCGCGCTTCCCCCCAAACTGCCTAGATTTTGCCCGTGCAACAAAGTCCTTTCTAAACCCGTTTTCAGGTTTTTTTTCTTGCGCCAAAAGTACATAATAGCTTCAAAAGTATATTTTATAAGCTCTAGCATTTTCAGCCATCAAAAGGTGACGCGTTTCGTAAGTTTTGAGCCGCCTAACAATGACTTAAATCTTATAGAAACACGCATTTTTATGATAAATCATTGATTAACGATCTATTTTGATAATCTTTCCCATTTTTCAGTGGAAATTCGAGAACCCGCTATTCTAGCAAAGGATGTAACCAAGTTTTTAGTTATAGGGTTAATCGGCTTTGGTTTGAATTATTTATGAGCTGATTTTTACAAAAATTCGGTTTATAATACCAGGTAAGCGCGCAATTTCGTCCTGGTGGTGAGGCAAAACCGTACCAGGCAGAAGAAAAGACAAAAGTCGGCCGCAAATAACGTCGGCAAAAGACGTCGACCTGGTCCACTGCTCGAAAATAACGGTGCTTTCCCGATGCAATATGGGGAGAACCAGCTCTGCGGATTTGGTTCACTACGAAAGCTTGGGGTTGCCCGATCCGAAATCCAAGCCGCCCGACTTTTCGGGCGACCCGGAATTCGGGCTAGCCCCGCCCCTTGTAGTTTCGCCTGGATCGCGAGCGGCCAGGATTTCGAATCGTGCACAATGCTCACACTACTGGGGGAAAGCCCCCTAGACCGTTGGCCTATTGTAGCGTTGGGAGAAGAGAGGCCCTAGCGGATTTTACCCTTACACACTATCCTAGAACTGCTATTTTTGGCAACTGCTACGTCTGATGTTTTTTTTTCACGAAATTACTTGTTTATATTCGCCTTAATATACCGTGTTCATTTAATTTTTGTGTATTTTCTGCCTGTTTTTCCTTGTTTCCTACCTGCATGGCTTTGGCTGGCGCGATCGCATCAATCTCCTCCTCCTTGCAGCGACTCCAGCATCACGTCGACCTCGAGCAGATTCTCCACCGGTGTCGGCTCGTGTAGGCTGATCTCAGTCTCCTCGAAATCGAAGAAGTTCATGTCGACAACCGCATCGGTTTTTGCCTGTTCTTCTCCGGCGGAAATGTCGAGTTCCACCATGAGGTCGCTCGTCCCTAAAAGGTTATTATTTTTGGTTACTGACATTTATTTTTTGTAGAAATCCAAAGGAAGTACAAACTCACCGGAACTTGTACGTTGCCTGGACACATTGACCTCTAAGAGCCCCTCAGCCTTCTCTTCCTTCGGCTGATCTTTTTCCTTCTTCTTTTTCTTCTTCTTCTTCTCGGCTGGCTCCGCGCGAGAACATCACCTCCCTCCCAACGGCGATTTGATGTTGAGAACGGGGGAGCAGATCGGGATACTCGCTTTCGGAAGGCAACTCCTCCTCGGTTCCTAAATAACGTTTTTAATTGCCGTTTGCTTCCTATCGAGCACCAAGCTAAGTGGCACCCAGATCAAAACCACAAGCCCCGCACTTACCGGTCCTCTTCCAAAAACAAATCCAACTCCAGATCGCTCAGTGCGCTGCTTGGTAAGTTGTCCGTGCAGAAGCATTCAACGAATGATGGTGCCTTGGTTTTCAAACTAGCTGAATCTTTCCCAACGCCACGTAGGAGACTTTCTCAGTTTTTCGTCCCTCGTCTTGCCAAACTAGTTCCTTTATTTACTCCAATTGTCAGCTCACTCCTGCTTCGCCGAGGAACGTCAACGCGTCATGGACTTGGCTTTGGCGCGAAGCCAACGAAGCTACCTCAACGGTCTCGATGTGAAGGAAGCATCCACATGCATGGATTGCTCCTTTCTCTGGAAACGCTGGCCTCAATTGCACCCCGCAGATCGGTTACCTTCGACGTCCATCGCCTTCTTGACCTTTCGTCCTTCTTGGCGGACTTGGAGTCGACCTCCTTCTTCTTGGACTCTTC